AGCCTAAAACTCAAGTGCGAATTAGAGAAAGGGTTTTAATCCGGCAGTTTTGCATGTAAAACAAATATTTGCATCACAAGGAGTTGGCGTAGCATCCTCTGATCAGCTGATTACCATAGTGATGAGACTCTTCAAAGGGAAAACTTTCTTCTTCGGGGGGTTGAACTCAGAGTTACAGGTTATAAGCTGCAATATTGACTGTCTCTGAGGGCATGTTCTGCTCAGCAGCAGGAATATGGAACACTCCACTGTTGATTATAATGAAGTTGGGGGGGAAAAAAAGGCAAAAGCTTACTTTGGGAAGAGGGGGAAAAAAAGAAGCAGTCTCTTTCTGACAGAGCTCATTATCCTCTCTGAAGGTGTTCGAAGCTTTAAAAAGCAGCAGCCAAGAGAGGAGAAGAAGGGGAGGAGTTGGCGATGGGATATATAGAAAGGTTGGATATTTGTGAAGAACTTAACAGTAGTGATCCATTTCTTAATTATTCCACCAGGACCATATTTTCCTCAGTTCCCTAGCTAATAAACGCCCTACATATGGTACCTTTAGCAAAGAGAATTATTCTGCTCCCCAACAGACAGGCTTCAGGGTGACCCTTGCTATCTGAAATGTGCTGACACCTCACTTCCTGGAACAGTTAAAGGAAATAGTGGTAATGATGGGATTGGGGTTGAATGATTAGTGGATCCAAATGAAATGTCCCGCTTTTTTCCCCTTTAATAAAACAGAGGGTTGTCTCTGCACTTAATAACATACTGTAAGTTAATATTAGTCATCATAATGCGGGAAACTGAAGAATAAGAGGGGCTTTTTGAATGAAGCAGTGGAAATGGAAAAAGAATTTTGGATGCCCTTCCACAGCACTTTGTGTGTGTGTGTGTGGGTGTGTGGTTGCTAGACATTTCCTTTTTTCTGATACTGTTTCTCAGCACTGCAGCAAAGGGATGGATCTCCCTTAATGTGCGCCTATTTGAGAGAGAGAGAGAGAGAGAGAGAGAGGGAGACCATGAGTAGGGAATCACAGAAATGAAAATGATGTCGCAGCATGTCAGGGCGGCAGCAACATGCAGCTCTGATATTGCGATAACAAGCATGTTGCAGAGACAGAGAAAGCTGTGAAGTAACAAAGCGGCTTGGACACCCCATCCAAAGCTTTTTGAATCCATTTGTTTTAGAAGGCTGCTGAAACGGGGTGGCATGCTGCCAGTTTTCAGATCTTCTCTGCGTGTGTGTAACAGAGAGACTCAGATGCATGTCTCAAGGTAAGGACAGGATACCCAAAGACTTGCACCTAATACTTGAAACAATCCTGCAGAAATGAATAGACTGACTAATGCTTAACTTGTTTGGCTGACTATACGCACTGCAGCTTTTCTGCCGCTCTAATGTGCTGTAATCCATCAATCTTTGAGTCACCTCCATGCAGGATCATACACACATAGCACATTTGCATTCTACGTGGACTCCACAAAGTACAGCACCACTACTGTTGTTCTGCACTCCTGAATAATAAATGGCATCTAGCACAAAACCGGTTCTCCTTGCTCTGTGGATTTAAGTGTAATTGATCCATACATTGTTACTGGCAGTACAGGAGTCACATAAACACCATCTCTGTCCATTGATTCTGCTAAATCTCGGATCAGGAGGTGTAAAATAAGATTACATATAGGTGGGAGCTACTGCTGGATAAGCTCTGAGTTGCACTTTAAAAGGTAGAGGCCATTAAGCT